TAAATATAAACTCTAAATAAAAATAATTAATTATATAATAATGTATTTTATTATAAATTTATAGTAATACCTGATATTATAATTATGCCTATACATATAGTCTCTGCAGTGGTATAAAATTTCCAACCTTTAATCTCTTATTCCAACCTCTCAGTCTCTATTGTTCTCTTGCTTTATTCTTGTTTTATATGATCAAATTCTTGTAAATTCTTGTGCTGTGCTTATTAATCTCTATTCTAAAGCCATGTATAAAGTTGCGAATGCATCTGAGTATCTTGTGATCACCGGAGTTGGAATCTCCGACATAAAGCTTGCCAAGAAGGCGTGGGTACTCCCCGGTCAGTCCTGCACCGTTTTCGACATCTCCCCTGTGAACTACACATTTGAAGTCCAAGCCATGAGCGCCGAGAAGCTCCCTTTCATCCTCCCAGCCGTTTTCACCATCGGCCCTCGTGTTGATGACAATACCAGCCTCCTGAAATATGCGAAGCTCATCTCTCCTTACGACAAGCTCTCCCACCATGTCAAAGAGCTCGTACAGGGAGTCATCGAAGGAGAAACTCGGGTTCTTGCTGCTTCAATGACCATGGAGGAAATTTTCAAAGGAACCAAAGCGTTCAAACAGGAGGTTTTCGAGAAAGTCCAGCTAGAGTTAAACCAATTCGGGTTGCTAATTTACAACGCTAATGTAAAACAACTCGTGGACGTTCCAGGACATGAATATTTCTCTTACTTGGGTCAGAAGACCCAAATGGAGGCTGTCAATCAGGCAAAAGTTGATGTGTCAGAGGCAAAGATGAAGGGGGAAATCGGGGCAAAACTCAGGGAGGGGCAGACTCTGCAAAACGCTGCGAAGATTGATGCGGAGACGAAGATTATATCCACGCAGAGGCAGGGTGAGGGGAAGAAGGAGGAGATAAGGGTGAAAACAGAGGTAAAGGTGTATGAGAACCAGAGAGAGGCAGAGATGGCGGAGGCAGACGCGGAGCTAGCCAAAAAGAAGGCTAGGTGGTTCATGGAGGCTCAAGTGGCAGAGGTGGAGGCGACAAAGGCTGTTGCGAGGAGAGAGGCGGAGTTGCAGATGGAGGTGGAGAGGATGAATGCCTTGACCAGTACAGAGAAGCTCAAAGCAGAGTTCCTCAGTAAAGCAAGTGTTGAGTATGAAACCAAGGTAAAAAGTTTTTTTTTTTCTTTGCCAATTTATTTAATTTTCAAAATTCTTAAATTTATTAAAGTAATTGTCTTCGTCCTCCCCAAAAAGGTGCAAGAAGCAAATTGGGAGTTGTATAGGAAACAGAAAGCGGCGGAGGCAATTCTCTACGAGAAAGAAAGAGAAGCGCAGGCTCAAAAGGCAGCGGCCGATGCGGCGTTTTATTATCGTCAGCAAGTTGCAGAGGGCGAGCTGTACGCCAAGCGTAAGGAGGCGGAAGGGCTGACGTTGCTCGCTCATGCACAAGGCGTTTATCTGCGTACACTATTGGATGCGTTAGGAGGAAACTATTCCGCTTTGCGGGATTACATGATGATTAACAGCGGAATGTTCCAGGAGATCGGTAAGATTAACGCTGAAGCAGTACGGGGACTGAATCCAAAGATTAGCATCTGGACTAATGGAGGAGATGCGGCTGGTGGCGGCGGTGGTGATGCCATGAAGGAGGTGTCCGGCATTTATCGGATGCTTCCACAGCTGTTTAAGACGGTTCACGAGCAAACCGGGATACTGCCGCCTGCTTGGATGGGCACTTTACCAGAATCCAAACCCCCTGCAACGACAACAGATTAACACATGATAGTCAATTCAAAATTTCAAACCACGGTGCAGCAGTTTTATGTTTAATTGCGCTTTTTCCTTTAAATTCAGTGTAATGGACAATGGAGTTGATCTATATTTTCTAAGAAAGGAAAAAAAAGAATATTGTGTGGTTCAGAGTATTCATATTGAACTGAATTACTGTTTTCCAAAAATCCTTCTTTCTTAGCCATCTTGTGGTAGAACAACAAAGGTATTCCACTTGCTTTGTTGAAAGTAAAGAAGATGAATTTTTTTCAATAATTCTCTTTTTTCAAGCAGGGATCTCTGTGCAAGATGGCTGAAAGAACATTAATTATGTGTTGAAAATACACTTCTTATTAGATTAAATGATGTTGCAATAAGGAGGGATGCTTTTTTACGAAATGAGTTATAAATTTGTTTTGAGGACTTCTCATATTTAAGATTACAATAAAGTTTATTAATTAAAGAGAGTAAGAAAAAAAGAAAAGAAAGTGGTAAAAAATAAGAGTATATTGTAGAATTAGAAAGTAAATTCAGGTTAAAGTGAGTTATAGATTTTAACACATCACATAATCAAAATAAATAATTATTGATAAATTTTAACTAAATAATTTATACAAATATAAATAAAATAAGATAAAAATAAAATAAAATTTTGTGATATAAAATAATGAGATTGCATTAACTATAATGGAATCTACTTACAAAATTGAAATTGATTGCATTCATAGAATTGAAACGTATTGATACAACTAGTTATCTAGAAGACAACCTATGAATGCAAGGGGATTGATCCCACATAAAATAATTATAACCTAAAACTAGAGAGCTTGAGAGCTGATCTCCTACTCTAAAAGCTAATTAGGAGCTTGACGAAGGTACTTTGCAAAGTAAATTGTGTAGTTTTCTTGTTGAGAGGGGCAAACCTGGTTTGAATACGCTGCTTCTTCATGATTATAGCTTATGAATCCCCCCTCCAAAAAAAAAAAAAAAAAAAAAAAAAAGCTTGTAATCACCCACAACTTAGTTGCAACAACGTGGTCAAAACTACTTGTTCTGATTGGACAAATTAGCAATATACTTGGTAAAAAATTGCTCTAGAATTTGTCATTTGTCCACCACTTCAACAGATCGAGTAGCCTTCCATGTCTCTCATTTGTTGAACTTGATCGGTAACTTCCCCTAAAATTCAACTATTATCTCAACTAAAATCAAATAATACAAGTTCATTAGGAAATGATTACCAACATCTCGCATTCCATGTGGCAATCATCAACAAGGTTTATCATTTTCCAGATCATAGTAAAATCAAGTCTTATATAACTTAATCACAATCACTTGTTCAAAATACCTTGTATCATATAATAATTTTATAATTTATGATCTAAACAATTACATGACATAATTCACAAAATGAG